TGGTGGTGGCAGCTAACGATGGCCCTATGCCCCAGACCCGAGAACACTTATTACTGGCCAAACAGGTACTCAGAGCCTGGGTACGGGTGGAAAGAGGAGGGGGGAGTTGGACCATTCTAGGACACTACCTCTCTCTCTTTTCCACCATCTACAGATTGGAGTAGAGCATGTGGTGGTGTACGTGAACAAGGCAGATGCTGTCCAGGACTCTGAGATGGTGGAGCTGGTTGAGCTGGAGATCAGGGAACTGCTCACTGAGTTTGGCTACAAAGGGGAGGAGACTCCGGTCATCGTAGGCTCTGCCCTCTGTGCCCTTGAGGTGAAGGCAGGGTCAGGCAAGGGCTTCTGCTGGCCAGGGATGGGGTTGGATGGACATCCAGAGCTCTGCTCTGAGTCTGGGGAGAGGCTTTTGATAAGAAAGAGGAGCAGAGTGGAAGTTTCAGAGTCCTGTCACCTCCCATCCATAGCAACGTGACCCTGAGCTAGGCCTCAAATCTGTGCAAAAGCTGCTGGATGCTGTGGACACTTACATCCCAGTGCCCACCCGGGACTTGGAGAAGCCTTTCCTGCTGCCTATAGAATCAGTGTACTCCATCCCTGGTGAGGACCCTGCTCATTTGCACTTGTTGCCCCTAGCAAACCTCATCTGGGGTCCTGATAATCCTGTCCTGTTCCCTTCCAGGCCGGGGCACAGTGGTGACAGGCACGCTGGAGCGTGGCATTTTGAAGAAGGGAGACGAGTGTGAGTTCCTGGGACATAGCAAGAACATTCGCACTGTGGTGACAGGTATAGAAGGAAGCTTTGGGACCCAGGGGCTCCAGCATGACTTCTCCCCTCGCCCGACCCCTCCCCTCGCCCGACCCCTTGTGCATTCCCTCTGCCCTACACCCTCCTCTTCGGTTCTCCTCTCTCCTAGGCATTGAGATGTTCCACAAGAGCCTGGAGAGGGCAGAGGCAGGTGACAACCTTGGAGCCCTGGTCCGAGGCTTGAAGCGGGAGGACCTGAGGCGTGGCCTGGTCATGGCCAAGCCAGGTTCCATCCAGCCCCACCAGAAGGTGGAGGCACAGGTGAGGGACCTGGGTGATGGTGGGCAGGGCACCATGGAGAGGCGCAGGGCTTCCAACCAAGCCCAGCTCCACCTTCATCCTCTCACAGGTTTACATCCTCAGCAAGGAGGAGGGTGGCCGCCACAAGCCCTTTGTATCCCACTTCATGCCTGTCATGTTCTCCCTGACTTGGGACATGGCCTGTCGGATCATCTTGCCTCCAGGGAAGGTACAACGCTTATGATAGTGTGGGTGACTTTCCCCTGGTGAAGAGAGGCTGGCTAATAATGCAGATGAAACTGCTGATGGAAGGGTCTGGATCAGTGCATTTAGGGGGAGTGAGTCCTCATCTAGTATTCCTTAGCTATGCTAGTATTTACCCACAGAAAGATTTCCCAGAAAACTTCTGTTGTCGAGTTTCACTGTATTTCACATAAGGGCTCAGAGAAGCCCTGTGACTAAGAAACCTGCATATAGACCCAAATTTCCTAAACGTTTTTTCTCAGGAATGTATCTTAGGAACAGTAATCGCCAGTCCTTTTCTGCCTTCGCATATACTATTTACATGTGTTTAACAGCTGGGATGAACGTATCCCCAGAAAGAAACATCACCCTGCTGCATTTTCCCATAACCTTTAACCTCCTTGATAGCCGGCAAGTAGTTAGGGAATGAAGGCACCCTGAAGAACACGCATGCTCCCTTGCTCTGCCCCTTCAGGAGCTTGCCATGCCTGGGGAGGACCTGAAGCTCAGCCTAATCTTGCGGCAGCCGATGATCTTAGAAAAAGGCCAGCGTTTCACCCTGCGAGATGGCAACCGGACCATCGGCACTGGCCTCGTCACCGACACACCGGCCATGACTGAGGAGGACAAGAACATCAAGTGGAGCTGAGTCTGGACTTCTGTTGGGGCTCTCTTGTGTTCAGGGCTGCGCTGGCCAGTGTTCTCTCCTGCTTCTGGTGCCCCCTTCCCAGGGCAGAGCCTGCAGCTGAGCCAAGTTGCAGCTAGACTGACACCCTGGCCAGAGAGCCACGTGGCCGGCCAGGTGAGGTAGGTCAATAAACTCTTCTGTGAATAGGAAGCTAGCCTGTGTCTTGTGTCCTTTGTACACATTGGAGAGGATGGGGAATATAAAAAGGGAGATGAAATTCAGAAAAGATGAGCTTGGGAGAGATCCCTGAGCCATTTTAACTGAGTTCACCCCTCCAGCCTCAAGAGTTCATCTCTGTGGTACAGGGTGGAAAACAAGTCTTTCTAAAAATGTCAGCATGCTGTGACGACTTGAGAAAGGGAGAGAAGCTGAAGGATTGAAAGTTAAGTCTAGTGAGCTTTGCATGGTTGCCCAGCAGAATGCTACATACGATAGGCTGCATGTTGGATATCTTACTGGGAGATTATTATAGCTTGGGCTCAGCTGAGGTGCTAAACCCACTTCGTTTTCTCTTTGAGTAGTTACTAGGCTGTTACGTCTAGCTACCCTTGTTTAAGCTCAATGATAGGGACTGTATCTTACCTCTAGACCCAGCACGTAAAAGGTACTTGATAAATATACATCACCTGTGTGCTTGATGGGCTATCACCACTGAAACAGCAATTCCAAACAGAAGTTGAGAAATTGTAGAATGAAGGTTTCATTTTCAACATTTACTGAGATTTACAATTAAAAGTGTTTATCAAATGTGAAGGGAGTAAAACGCTGAAATTTTTTTAAAATTTGAAATGACCAGACAGGATGCTGATCCCAAACGAAAAAGGTGACATTCAGCAGGGATTAATGGGCACCCGTCTGTGACAAACGAGTTTATTTAGGACAACCTACTCACACAAGCAGTTCAAAGGAGGCTCTTGGGCCCAACCTGAGAGCTGTTTTGGGAAACAGCCTGACCTGTGACTCCAGAACAGAGGCAAACAAGCAGACTTGAGGGGAAGACACAAGAACTTCATGAAAAGTACTGTCCAATGATAGAGCGAGTTTACTTGTTTTACCCTCTTCAGTGTCCAAAGTGAGGCTGAAGGTTTTCACAGGGGGATTCCAGACTGGATGGAGGCTAAGTTCCCTCTCCCAACTGCTTTTCTGCTCGTAGGAATAAGTTAAAACCAATCTACAAGCCTCCTATAAACCATCAAAGGGCTTCTCAGTAACATCTCCAATCTCATCTCTGTTATTGCAGAAACCTGCCTCCATCTGCACCACAAATGTCCTGAGCCCAATTGAAGGCCTTCCTGTTACTGCTGCTTCCATCATCACTGCCTCCCAACCCCAACTGACATCCCCTAAGACAGCTCTTGTCACTTGGGACCTCAAACCTGCCCGTCTTTTAACAGCCAATTAGCTGCTACAGATAATCCCTTTTCCACTTACCTCTGTACACCTCCCCTGCCTCCCCCAGCCCCATGCTCCCAAATGCCAGGTTTCAGATCCTCATCCCCTGGGAATTCTTCCCCAGTATCTACTCTCCATTCCTCCTGCCCTGATTGCAAGCCAATTTTCTCTGGCTTTGGTCAGAGCTGAAACACCCCTGCCTGTCACAAAACACCAGTCCAATCCTCACAATCATCTACCTTTTTACAGACATGAAACTGAGGCCAGGTCACATAGTATAAGAATTCCAAACTGTCTCCTTGGGAAAAAAACCTTCTGAAACTTGTTTTCTCCCTCCCATACTTGGCTCTTCCTCATTTAGCTCCTGCTCCCATCATTGGGGCTCAACCCAGCCCTCCCCACTTTCAGTAGCAGCTTCACCTTCACAGCTCTCACTGATACCAAAGACCTCTCAGCTGTGCACCAGTCAGGCCCTTATTTCCAGTGGCCCAAAACACTACAGTATTTTTTAGTCTAAAGAGATAAATACAACTCATGAAATACTTACATTAGAACAATTCATGAAGTACTTACATTAGAAATAAAAAAAGATCTAGGCCAATTCTGAGCTGAAAAAGCAGCCACCTAGAGACTGATGACCTGTGCAGCAGTTACAGAGCCAGAAAGGCATCTTTGGACCATGCTGCTACTCTGAATCTCCCATCTTGGGAACCACGTTAAGACTCTATTCTCCAAAGAGGAAACTATAGGCAGGTTAAGTTAGTTTAAAATTTTATTTTTTTTAATTTTTTTAAATATTTTTATGTAATAAAAAGTAAAAGTCTTGTCCAACCATTCTTGTGGGGCATCTGTCTGTGTCTCTCACGCAGGTCACTCAAGTTAATGGGGAAGAAAGAACAGAGGGCCCAAGTTTGAGGTTATAAATAATAGAAAATAAAAGATCTTCCGTCTCCAGCGGGGGGGGGGGACAGGATGAGAGGACGGGAGGGCAAGACGGGGTGGGGATGGGCAGGGGCAGAGCAGGAACCCCCACCCCCGCTGGACCCTGGCCCTGCCCACTTCGTGGCCCTTCCCATTCAAGGTGCTTGGCAGGAATTCCCCCAGCTCCCCAGGGGGCGGGGGGG